GCATTTTAGGAAGTTATAAAATGAAGAATTAAATCAGTAAAAAATGCCAGGCTTCATGGGCTACCCAAAGTTCCACTCACATTCAGAGGCTAAGAAGCTGTTGATGGCAACAATGAGCAGGTAGAAGAGTTCTACCTGACCTCTGTCAGAAAGCAGAATTGGGGCCAGCAAGATAGCTCAGTGGACTATGCTTAGACAAGCTTAGGCAAGCTCAGAGACCACAGTTCAATCCCTGGTACCACATGCTGCACCAGTCCCACCCCCAGGGTGGGCTGAGCTGGCCAGAGTCCAGGCGTAGTGGTGCACACCTGTAATTCCAGTGCTGGGGAGGCTGAAAGCAGAAGGATCATCACAAGTCTGAACTGCATAGCGAGGCCCTACAATGACTAAATACATTAAAAAAAATTTTAGAAAGAAAGCACAATTGCAAAATGAAGGGCAAGAGAATAGATGGAAGTGTAAAAATGTGAACATTAGCAAATATTGGCATTTGGGTTGCCTATTCAAAATTTTTTAAAAAGGAACAGTTATAAGGCCAGCAGCTCATGTTTACACAATATGCCACTCTTGTGGCCATGATGAGGAGAAAAATCAATCTGAGAAGGAGTGAGCAGGTGGGCCCACAGGGCACTGTTGGATGTGCTTAGACTAGGGATGGGAAGGCCTTCACAGCTTGCAAGGCAGCTAGCAGGCAGTCTCTCCACTTAAACGCCTCTTTCGTCTTCTACCATCTCTTTCCTATTGGAAAGCCTATCTCAGGACATTCTGTACTGCAGTGCCTGCCTTGCATGACACGATATGCACTAGGTTATGTCCATATACCTTAAAAAATGACAAGATCCTGAGCTGGGGAGATAGCTCTGTAGAATAAGCACTTGCCTGGCAAGCGCAAGGTCATAAGCTCAATCCCCAGTACCACAAAAAAAAAAAAGACAAGATCCATCACTTTTTTGTAACACTTTTTGAGTGTTCTTTAGTTCTCAGCTCTCAGCCTAAACAGAGGATCAGTTAAATGTTGATTAAGCCAATGTCTTTTTGAAAACATATGCCCACTTGGGTTTGAGAAGTGATAAGAAGCCTCCGAAAACACACACACACACACACACACACACACACACACACACAGAGCCTTCTCATATCTATAAAGCCTCCATTCTTCATAGATACTTTCTTTCTCTTACCTTGGAGACAGAATAACATGATCAGGTACAGTTGGATGCTATGGGACAGGCATCTGTAGCCCCAGCTCCTCAGGAGGCTGAGGCAGAATGACCACTTGTGCCCAGGAGCATGGGACTAGCCTGAGCAACATAGCAAAGACTCCATTTCAAAAAAAGGAGAAAAAGATCAAGCAGTGACAGTTCTGCAAATCTCCTCTTAAAAGTCTTGTGACTATAATGTCTGAAAGTTGGTGGATTAGAATCACTCTGGGGAAATATGAATTCAGAAGCTGCCTTGGACTTGTGCATAAATTGTGCCCTGCAACAGTAATTATCACAGAAGAAAGCCGAACATCAACTCAGAAGGAGGCAACATCAAATTCAGAAGGCTTCATTAGTGGCATGTGATGTCCTATTTGATTTAAATCAAGTGCTTGAACTTCTATCCCATCTGGGTGGCAGCTCAAGCAAATGCAGTGAATTACAAATACCAGATCTCTGACCAAGAACTTAATGGAGATGTGAGCACTGGGGCTCTTCTGAGAAAGCTGCATACCCAGTCCCTGCAGACCACCTAACAAGGATGGGGAAAACCAGACACCACCTCCCCTACTTACTTTTCTTTTCTAGAACCTGCAGAGGGGGACTCACACTCAAATTCAGTCTAGGTTTCCTAGATTTTTGCATCACAGGGAAAAAGACGCTTCTGCTTCCTGGTCTGGGCTGAAGAAGACCTTGAGACCCAGGCCCTGAGAAGTCTTGCAAATGCTCTAGGTCTGGAGACAAGCTCCAGCTTGCAGCCATCCCAAGCAGGGAAGGCACAGAGTGAAGGAATGCATCAAAAGCTCCAACTGGCTTGAGCAGGGCCCGCCCTGGCTGAAAGCCCAAAGAGATGGAAGATGAAAGGCCAGAAACAAGCAGCCCCGCCGGCACGAATGCATCAGCATCTGTGTTTGTTTAAAATATGTAGCAGCAGAGAGAGAGTGTGATTTTGTTTTCTCGCAGAACATTCAGAGCCAATTTCAGCACCCAGATCTTCACAGGAAAATCTTGTGGGGCTCTGTGAGGTGTGAGAGGGTGTTAAGGGCAAAATTTCCTGCCTGAACTGGGAATTCCAATGATAAGTGACTTTGGATTATTATTTTAAAGGCGAGGAGAAACTGCCACACACTTGAGATGGCTCAAGCTAGCACACTGCCAAGAGCTGTAAACCAAGCACAGAAGTGGTCCTCAGCTCTTCCAGAGTGGGGTCTCCAGAGTAGCAGCTCCGCCTGGGAGCTGGTTAGAGATGCCTGTTCTTCCACCTCACTCCAACCTCAAGGATCACAGCCCAGCAATGAGGCCAAACACAGTGGCTTTCACTGACTCAAGCTTGTGGGATATTCCAATGCACGCTTGAATTTGAGAACCCACTGAGCTTCTTTACAATTCACCAGTGAAAATGACTGACCTCTATCCTCAAACCCAAGAACCCCCTCAAGCTGCCTGCTAGGAGTTCTCTGTATGAATGCATACTTTCAACCCCTTGCAAAGCCTATCCCCTGTCCCGCAGACAGCAGAAAAAAGTCAAATGAATCAGATTGTTTATCTGGTTAGACATGACATCCAGAGCAGGGTCACTCAGTGGCAGCACTCAGAACACTTTGGATCAGTTTTTTTTTTCCTTGTGAGCTGTCCTTTGCATTATAGGATATTTAGCAGCATCTTTGGCCTTGACTCTCTAGAGAAAGGCAGTAGCCCACCCTCCAGTTTTGACACCCGAAATTACAGACATTGCTCAGTGTCTTTAGAGGACAAGATCATCCCTGATGGGAACTGCCATGTTAAACCAGCAGCACAGGGCCAGAGAGATAGCTCAGTAGAATAAGCACTTGCTTGGAAAGTGCAGAGTCCTAAGTTCAATCCCCACCACCACAAAAAAAAAAAATGTGTTTCACAAGTGGCAAAGAATTTTAGGGCTGGGGAAATAGCTCAGTGACATAAGCGCCTGCCTGGCAAGAGCAAGGTTGTGAGTTTAAACCCTGGTGTAAAAAAAAAAAAAAAAGATGAAGCTCCACTGGGCCAGGGAGATAGCTCAGAATACGTGCTTGCCTGGCAAGCACAGGGTCCTGAGATCAATCCCCAGTACTGCAAAATAAAATAAACCAACAGCACAAATGTTAACTGCGTTAGATGGTTAATTTGGGTTCCACCAAGATCTCAGTAAACTATGTTGGGCCTCAGTATTTCTACAGCCTAGTTCCTCACTCCAACCCACACCCTACAAGGAAAACAATAAGGAGATGATCCAGGTTCCAGGCCAATTTGTGCCCTTCACAATTTCCCAAGGCTGTGGAACTTGGGGGATGTCACTGAGCTCTAAGACTGGCCCTCAGGAAACTGTCCCTTTGGTAGCATCATGGGCCTTCAGGACACAAAGCAAAAAGTAATAGTATGGCAACAGAGATGACACCATGGGGCTGTCACATCTCCCAGCTTCCCAGTACCCTTTGAGAGGTGCAGCTTGCTCAAGAAGATTGACAGATTAGAGAATGACCTGAGCATAACATGGATTTTGCCTTTTGCTTATGTGTGACTTCATCCGTGAGAAACTAAGAAAGCACACAAAATTGCACCCAGCTGAACACAAAATACATGTGTACACACACTGCAGGAACATGTGCGTGCGGCCTCAAGTCACATGTGGCTCGGCTGCACACACCCACCTGCAATGCAGACTCCCTTCCAATTTCCAATCCTCCTCCTTCACACAGGAACTCCACAGCCAACTTCAGGTCTCCTCAAGGTGCAGTGACATATCGACTGCTGCACTCATTTGTTTCTTAACCATTTGGTGTATGTACCGTATGTAAAACTGCCATCTTTATTAGGTCTCCATCTCGCTTTTTTAAAAATGTATTTGGTGCAGGGTCTCACTACACAGCTCACACTCATGGTGACCCTCCTATTGTCAGCCTCCCCAGTTCTGGGATTACAGGTGTGTTCCACCACGCCTGGACTCAGTCGCTGGCTCAGTGTGCCCTGGGGGTGGGGCCAGTACAGCATGTGGGGCCAGGGATCGAATCCTGGTCCCTGCATTTGCCAAAGCAGGCTCTCAGTCCACTGAGCTATCTTGCTGGCCTTCCCATCTCTTTCAACATATCACTGATGAGGTTCCTGCGTACTGTGTACTTAACCTATTTAAAAAAAAAACTTTTTAAAAAATTATTTGGTCCAGGATCTCACGACACAGCTCAGACTCCTAGTGAACCTCCTGTCTCAGCCTCCCCAGCACTGAGATTACAGGTATACACCACAGGCCTAGTCTCAGTGGCTGGCTTGGCACACCAGAGGGTGGGGCCAGCATGTCATGTGGTGCCAGGGATCAAAGCCCAGTCCCTGCACTTGCCAGGCAAGTGCTTAGTCCACTGAGCTATCTCGCCATCCACCTAACCTACTTGCCCATAAGCTCTGTGATTTTCATTGCTCACTTTTACATAGCACTGATTTTCAAGGGCATATATGACATGTCACCACAGACCTGGCTGTACTCTCTTCCCTAACTGGAATGTCATATCGTGGCAGCAAACCAACACCAAGCCCTTCTCCTGTGGCTCCTCCCCCTTGGACTCAACCTCCAGGCTGAGCTAGGCAGCTGTTTCCATCTTTCCAGGCTCTACTAAGTTCCAAAGCCCCATGGACATTTTCTGCTCAACACACTTCCCACAACTCAGTGGTACCATCTGTTAGGGCTGCTCTATCCCAGTGGACTCCAAGGGCAGAGCCTTGTCTTAGTCAGCACCTTGCTCCCTCGAGTCCAGCCACAGAACATATCCTGTCCTCGCTTGTCTGGCTACTCACCCACTCCGTGTCACGAGGCACTGGCGGAGCCCCAGTTTCCGGAAGATGTCCACCACCGTCTCCATGGGGGTGTGGTCCGTGACTGTGAAAGGGCTAAGGTTCAGGATGCGCCTCAACTTCAAGGGGTGCGGGCTGTTGGCTGGCAGCTCTGGAGGCTCCTCAGTAAAGTACATGATGGAATTGCTCACAATGCCCTCCTGCCTCTGTCTGGCATTCTCTAGAATGGGGGTGAGCAAGAATAATAAGGCACACAAAACTCCCTCAGGTAGCCCCCACCCTGCCCCCTATAGCACCACAATTGTCCAGAAAAGGGTTCAGAGGGAACATGACATATTCTGAATGGGAGGCTTCAGCCAAACACCTGTGAAGTTGGCCTCTCTCTCAGACCTATGCTGTGCAGGGGGGCCCTGCTATGATCAGGTTATTCACTGCCAACGCCTTGCAAGATGATCCTGGCCAATATGGTTCCTTGGGGGACGTTCCCTGCTGCCCCCTGGACTTGAGAGCACCCCAAATAGCCCGTCATACACCCTTGCTTTCCAAACACTCCCTCACCTCATCATGAGCTGAAGTTTGTCATGACAAGAAACCTCGTTTAGCTGCCTAGTGACCTTAATACATTATTTTTAAAAAACAAACTTTAAAATGGCCTAAGTGGCATTATGAATCCTAAGAGGAACAAGAAACCAATAAGACCAGCCCAGGCTCGCAGCCCAGAAATGCAGCTCAATCCCAAATATGACCCTTGGGACCAAAGAAACAACCCCAGAAAAGCTGCATCCCCCCGCTCCTTGGATCTCCTCTCTTAAAAATGGGCCATTTTGTAGATTTTTCAAAGAAAGATAGTAAAATTGTTATGGTAGCAATTAGTCTATTTCAGTCTGTAGGCAAGGCCATGTGAAGCTAAAGAAAAGTAGGGTAACAGGAACTCATTAGAAATACAGCTTAATGCAATGCTAGAAACCCAGGCTATTTTAAGTCACACATGAAATAAATCCATTGGTCTCAAGATATTTCTCCAAGGCAATTTTCCTTCTGTTGGAATTTTAATCTTTCTTTTGGTTCGTGGGAAAAGGATAGGAAAAAAGTACAGCAGAGCCTGTCTTAAAATGAATCCTGGTTTCTATAATGTTTCTTGCTCTCTCAAAGACTACTATTCACCTATATTGTTCTTTCAAAAATAAAATTCTAACAGCCTCCTCTAAGGCCATTTAGTGCCATAGAGTACTCTAATGGAAAACCGGCAGCATTTGAGGTCAGGCTGAATCTGAAAAGGGGTCTCTGTTGAAAAGAGGAACAGAGGGCCTGCTGGGCAAATGCCTGCACATTATATGGGTCAATCTAAATCTAGTTACATCAAATAGGATATGATTCAACCACAAATACAAAGCGATGCTGACATACAACGTGTTTTCAAATGCAAGTCCTGCACGCTACACACTGTGTACTTTTCTCCTAAGCCATGATGGTTCTTTCTTTAAGCACTAAGACAAGAGGGTCATAGTCAACATGGACTTACTTGCTCGCTTCCATAGACCAATCAACTCTCATAAGGTCCCACATAATAAGGCTTCCATCCGTTTCAACAACTGCATTGAACATCAGGATTGGATCAAGCCACAAACCCCCAATCAAGAACTGATCGTGTAGATTTGCTGAACCTCTCATAAAACCAAATACAAATTAGTGAACCATCAACACAGTTGCTGAAATAAACAACAAGCTTATATTTCCTCTGCATCTGCCCATTGGGTTAGAATCCTTGATTCTCTCAGCCACTCATTCTGTGATCTCTTGCTGACCAGTGCACTTCCAGTGCCCAGACAATACGAAGAAAACAACAGATACAAAACACAGATTTGCCTGCCACATGCACACATGCATGCATGAACAAGTGAGTCTAGTAAAGATCAGTATACCCTCTTCTGCTTGACCTGTAGAATAAAGCCTGTTCCACAAAGAAGATGTTATGAGGGAAAGCCCATGAGCTATTCATACCATGCAAGAGTCACAGGCATTGGCCGGGGGCAGAGCTGGCGATCTGAGCTGTCTTCATTGCTACACCACATGGCAATTTTTGCCCTCTTTAGAAGGGTTCTACTAAGTCACTGTGGAACTGCATTATACAACCTTGTTCTAAGGCTTCAAACTTTGGAGGTGGATGTGCTATCCACAGATCAAAAGCTGGTGAGTGGAAGAAAAACTAGGAAAAGAGCACGCTGCAACTCTGCATTGGGGTAAACTAGCTACTCCCACTGTGGACCAGAATGTCCAGCTCAACCAATATGGCTGCGACAAAACCCTGACATGTAAATTCACAAAGGACAGAGACTGTGTGCTGCCATCCCTGGAGTTCCGCTCTTAGGAGATGGCAAGAATATGGCGAGCACTCAGAAAATATTTCTTATTTGTAAGGGTAAGTCAACTCTTCACCCAACAGATGAGCCAGTGTTATCAGTCTAGACCGGTACTGGAGAACTTCTTAGAGCTTTCAATGACACAAACAGCCCTCTCCAGCATGCATGGCATGGGTTCTCCATCTCTGGTCTACACGCACAGACCCCAAGAAATCTTGGGAGCCTCAGTTGGAAAAGAAACCAAAATAAAAATCCCAAAACTCACATTTTCAAGGAGACCTAAAAGAGAGGAAGTACACACTAAATACTAGTGCCTCTAAAAATTGCATTTGCTTCTGATTTTTCCAATATTCTATGAGTGTGTATTGCTTTTACTGAAGAAAATGTAACGAAATTCATTTTAATTGTTTTAAGTTCAAGTAGTTACATTTTTAAAAATGTTTTTAATGTAGGAGGCTTATTACATATTCTCCCAAAGCTATGTCAGTGGCCGTAGCTCCTGAAACCTGCTGTACATTTTATAAGCACATGGTAAGGATATTCAACTCAACTGTCCACTTTCTAGCGGCAATGATGCCAGATGTAGAAGGAGTAAATGATAAAGTGCTGCTGACATGGATTTCATGAACTACGATAGGTCAAGAAAATTTTAAAGATTGCAAATAATCATACATTTAGTAAGCAATTAGTGGTTCTCAATTGGAAGTAATCTTGACTCCCACCCTGAGGGGACATGTACCACATCTAGAGACATTTGGAGTTCTCACAACTGAAAAGGGAAGATGTTACTGAAAAAAGTAAAAAAAATATATATATATATATATGTGTGTGTGTGTGTGTGTGTGTGTGTGTGTGTGTGTGTTACTGGCATCTAATGGGCTAAGACCAATGACATTGGTCAGCAGCCTACGAGGCACAGGACAGACCTCACACAAAGAATGATGCAGCTACAAATGTCAATAGTGTTAAGGTTCAAAAACTCAGGAGTAGTTGTGTTTTTAAAGGAGGAAGTATTCCATCATTTTATTCACTAAAAATGCTTCCATAATGCAGGCGTAATTCATGAGAAAGGCTGAAATGGAAAATTGGAAGCAACCACCATAGTGGTCAGTACAGAGATGATACGATAAAAAGTAAGGACTGTAATGAAGAGACATCAGATTATTTTACAAGTTATGGTCTACTGAGGCACAGAGAAGTCCTTCTCCATATATATCTCTGTATATTTTAACATCCTTGGCAGAAAGTAGTTGACACCACTGCTCTGTATGACCTATTCCAAAAATTAACAGCCCACCCAGGCAGAAACCTCTTTATCCCTAAATGGTTTATCTGCCAGACCTGACATTTATTTTCTGGTTCAGTCCTGGAGGTAGATCCCTTTCTGCAAGTAAGCATCTTCCATATGCTAGAGAATCATTATTAAGTCATCCATCAGACAAAAAAATTTGAGAGTTCCCTTAACTCTTTGCCATAACTCTAACTTTCCATCCCTTTAATCATCTTTGTGGCTTCCCGCTGAGCCCTCCCTGAACCCTTACTAGCTTAATTACAGAATTCAAGACTAGAAGAAGCAGAGCCCTGCTGAGCACAGGAAGCACCTCATATTCCCAAAGACAAAGAGAGGCAAAGGCCCATTTGCCAGGAGTTTGAACTATGGTCCACTACAGTGTCACATGCTAATAATCTGAAGAGGCTCACCTTGCTCAGGTGATGCTGACTTGCTTTCTACCAAAAACAATGGCTGTGCTTTGGCCTTCTAGAAATGGACTGAAAATTACTAAATATTTTCAGCTCCATGTCAGCAGCTGGTACAATTTTAAACAAGACATGTTATTTTCCTCATTTACCCTTTTTTCTTACTGTAATTATATCCATCCTATGGTAATCTTGGCTCCCAGTCCCCCAAAAGTGAAAGTGATTTGGGATACTTTTAGCTAAATGCTAATGTCATATTTGTACATTCATAAAAGGACATATGACTCCTCAAATACAGGTCAGGAATTTCTCCGCAAGAATATAGTGACTCTTCTCTTTTCACAGGTCAGGAAAAGAGCTTTCCTGATTCCTGAGGGTGAAACACGTCTTGCCTTCCCACAAGCCGTGTAAATAGCAGTTTCTACACTATTATCGGCCTGATTGAAAGCACAGAGGTATTATTTACACTGTGTGGTGCCTCTTCAGGCATTCCAAACATAGCTTCTGCGAGAGTGCTCACTTGCAAAGCTTACATTTCTTCTCTAACCGGTTGATGCCAATTATTGCTTCCCACTTGATTACAGTAATGGGTTTCAGCAAAATTAGTAAGCTGTTTCTTAGCAGGTGTGCCTAGAACTGCACAACAGGTAATGAAGTCCGTGACATTTACTTCTGGAGTCTCTAAATTTCAACCTGTGCTTAAAAGATTTTAGGAATTGAATAAAATTTAAAAGACTGCTGATTACATTATTTTAAAACAAAACCAACTCTACTTAAACAGCTTTTAAAAACCTCATTACTTGGATGGCAATATTTCATCGAGATGGGACCTACAATAGAGAGAAGCATCACAGAACACTTGAGCACAAGCTTGCTATGGTGTCCAACACGGAAGGTCAGTCTTTGGTTTGGGAGACTTAAACATGCTTGAGCTTTGCACTAAAATTGGATAATATAACTTTCCTAAACTAATTTTTATGAAACTTTTGAGGAAGATTCTGTAAAGAAAAATGTCAAAGCTGTTTATCATGGAGAAGAGGTATTACAAGTTGAAGGGAAGTACCTTAGGAAGAGGACACCGTAGAAACAAAGGGAAAGGAGGAGGAAACAGCTCTCTGGTAAAAATGTGTTCACAGTGGGGCATCCAGTAGCCACATGCAGGAAAGAAATTCCCACTGACACCCAGCAGGAGTACTGCGGAAGATGGAATGGACAGTAACACTGTCACATGTACATGGGAGCCATGCCACGAGCCAGTCCCATGGGATGCAGGGATGCTACGCACATTACAGAGCAATGATAATCAGCCACGGAGCATGGAGTCCACCATGTGTGGGAAGATGGGCTCTACTGATCTTCCTTGAATCCTGAAATCCCCAAGACTCCAACTCTCTGAGGTTCTCTGCTCTATTTCTGCGCATGGTGTCTAAGTTCTCCTTCTGACTCTCACCCAGGCCTCTCTCCCTGTCTTTGGAATCCTCCTACTCCCCTTCTGAAGAAGCTAACATCAGCTTCTCTGGGCTACCTGTCTTTGGGATACCCCACCTGGGAATCATCCCTCTTCCTTCTACCCCAAGGCAATAGCATGCTCCATCCCCCGCTCCATAGCTGATTTCAGTTCAAATGTAAGGAGAAAATAATCACACAGAACTGATATCTATTGATGCTATTCTTTAACCCATGTGGACCTCATGGGACATAATTCATTTAATGCAGCAAAACCTTGTGCAGTGGCTAGCAAAGTATCAGAGAGACCTTAGCACCTAGGTAGGTGGTTAACCTGCCTGAAAGCACAGCTTTCTGAGAATAGCTCAGCATGGGCCACTCTGGAACCTCATACCGTCCCTTCTTCTCATTTTCAACCAATAATCCCACCCACCCACTCACCCCCACCCCCAAACAGCAGCAGTACGAGCAGCAGCTTGCCTCCTGGTCTGCACACAGAGCAGCCACTCTGGCCAGAAGCATCTATCCCAGTACTTGGGTTGAAACCGTGGGAGCTGGCAGCATTGGTGTGAATGGGAAGCTTGGGGGTGGGGAGTACAGAGTCAGCCCACCCAGGTCCACTCAATCAAATATGCATTTTAACTAGGTTCTGGATGACAGATCTGCACTGAAGCTTAAGAGCACCAGCCTAACTAAACATTCTTTTGAGCCCCTTTGATAAATCTAGAGGTACAAAGGCCGCTTAGAAAAACGGAAACCTCCCTCTCCTTACTTATTGCCAGGATCAGCTCCCTCCTCTGCGCAAACCCAATGAGGCGCTCAGAGTCTCTGGAGACCACCACAGGAAAGCCGTTGTAGTCTGTCTCCTTGATGAGCGTCTCCACATCCTCCACAGTCATGCTGTCCTGGGTGAGCACAGACAGCGGGGGTTCTCCCCGCCTGGGCCGCATCACATCCGTGGCCAAGGTGCGATGGGTGAACTCATCCTTCACATCGAGAAATGGGTACCCATTGAGGTGAATGTGGGCCTCATAGATGCCCTCTTTCCCAAAGGCATCAGCTACCCACTTGCTGGTCACAGCTGCTGCCATCAAGGGCACAATGTACTCCAGGCCACCCGTTAATTCAAACATGATGACCACCAGTGATACGGTCATCCTGGTCACTCCACCTGCAATGGAAGAGAAAAGTGAGATTCTAAAGCTTAATTCTAAACCCTCACGAGGGCATGATTTGTGGAAACAGGCTCAGGGGTTGCAAATGCAATTCAATCCAAGTTTTCTTAATTCTCCTATTTGCTCTAATGAGAGGTTCCTATGAGATGCTGCCCATGCTGGGAGCCCTGAAACGGAGACCAGGCACTATGAAACTCAGCCTTGCATCGAGGATCTGGAAGTCACCTGACTGGGGGCTCTAGTCCTACAAGGGACCTTGGGTTGTTGATTAACCCAGGCCACATTATTGGCTTTCCTGTGAGTGGAGTCTATGTACCCTATGCAGGCTTCTGCCTGAGAAAGCAACCCATAAATTGGAAAATTGTAGAGATTTTGAGGGATCAAACTAGAGAGGGACACACCTTTGTATGCCTTAGTATTCAGAAAGAGAATGCAAACTAATTCCCAATCTTCTAATAAACCTAAACCAGGGTTTTTTAACTTCGGTCCTAGCGACATTTGGGATGGGATTACTTTGTTGTCAGGACTGTCTTGTATGCTACATACAGCAAGCTTATTAGCATCCCTGGAGTCCCACCCACTACATACAAGAGGAATGATCAAAAGTGTCCCTCTAGACTTTGCACGTGTCCCAAGGATGCAAAATCATTTCTGACTGAGAACAAGTGTTCTAGGTATACAGCTGTGAGATGGTAAAGATTCCATCAGACTGGGCTTCTGAATGGCTGGGTGGAAAAGTCTTCTGCTAACTCATGTTTTTCCATTTCTGTTCTGTTCTGTTCCATCCATATAGGGAACAGAACGTAAATTTGATACATGTTAATCCACTGACATGACAGAGTTTGCTTGTTACCACCACAACCTAGACTACGTTGAGTAACGCCACTGAGCAAACCTGCATCTTCCTCCCTGCCAGTCCTAAGCCAGATCAGCACCCCTCCTCCTCCATGCCCCACCTGTGGACATACCTAGACAGGCTGCAGCCCCCACCATTGCATAAAGTCCTGGGGTGACACAGTCTGCCCCAGGCCGACACCAGTTCCTGAAGATGATCCAGTCATGGTGATGGTAAGCCAGCTGCTCCACACCAATGCCCACCATCCTGCCCGCCATGGCTCCCACAGCCATGCTGGGGATGAAGAGCCCTGAAGGAATCTCAAAGGAACACAAAGAGAAAAGTAGCCTGAGGGAACAAGGCCAAGTTCCAACCTCCCAACACCCAGGAAGCAAGGTCCCCTTCCCCAAGCTTGCATTTGACTGCAGCCTTCAAAAGAGGTGCAACTCTGCAAAACGGGTCTGCTGGGAAAAGGTGAGGCAATCGATTTGACCTGCTCAGGCAGTAGAGTCTGCTGCGACTTGGACAGAATGCAATTTGACACTTTGATTTCCTCTCTCTCAAAAGCTGGCCAGTATGCCTGCTGTGCATGAAAGGAGGATGAGCCCCACTGCAAATAGCATTCGAAGTGTGCATGTGTCACCAGGGACTCTCACCACTTCCTTGCTCCCCTTGCTGTGTCATTCAGATTGGCTTTGAAAATTAAATGTCAAGGCACAGCATGAAAATGGAGAAGAAGGGCCTGCTACAGCTCCCAGGTAAAAGGGGGAAAAAGTTGAATGTGTCATTGCAGCTGCCCGGTATCTTGCAAAGAGCCTTTCAAGGGCTCACTGTCCTCTTGAAAGGATGGTGACTGTCAGAAGAGCTGAAGGAGGGTTCCCTCTTTCTAACGAAGTATGTATTATATTCTGCTATCTCCAGCCAAGTTACAGACTACATAACCTAAGAGATGTTGGTTGTAGCATGTTTTCTGCTGAGTTGAGTGAGAATATCATACATTTGTTTTCTCTAATGGCCAAACAGAACATGCCTGCTACAAAATGGGTGCAGAATACACCTGACTCCATGTTTAGGGCAATTCCACGTGACCATGGATCCTCAACAGCAGCTGCCTTTCTGTCTGCCCCCACAGGCAGCAATCAGAGCATATAGGCAGATCTTTAGCCCAACTGACATTATGCTTCAATCCCCATGTACAACTTCTAGAGTGTGGAACACTCCTTGGCAGTTTGTGCTTTTCTGAGCAGCCCCTTTTTCCAGTCACTGATCTCTGTTACTTCCAAGTAGCATCTCCCTTGGACCCAAAACTAAATCCCTTTGCTAGGAGCTGGTGGAGCCAAGCCAGGCAGTTGTTGGACCAAGTCCACCCATCCTTGTTCTTAAGACATGGATTCTAATCTGTGTTTGACTACTACGCTCAAGCCCACTATCTCTTAGACTTTTTAAAAAGAGAGGATTTAGGCCATGGTGGAGGTGCATGCTTGTAACTCCAGCACTCTGCGAGGCCGAGGCAGGAGGATCACAATATTAAGCCCAACCTGGATATTTGAGCAAGACCTTTTATCAAATTCAAACACAAAAGGGCAGGGAATATAGCTTAATGTGAAAGTCCTGGATTCAATCTCAAGCAGTGGAGACAGACACAGAGACACACACAGAGAGAATACAGGTATCACAAAGAAAGGAATATTTATGGAAAAGAAAAGGGCATTCTTGGGACTGGAGGACGTGCTGCTGCTGGTCCTGGGTGTTTATTATGCAACACATTTGTTTTGTGAAAATTCACCTGTGTACAGCTCTATATAAATAATATATCTGAATATTTTTTCCTAAAACTATAAGCAATACAGAAACAATGCAAAAGTCCATCAAAGGATCAGTGGATAAAGTGTGGAATGCGTTCAGGCATGGTAGTGCATGCCTATAATCCCAGCACTGGGGAGGCTGAAAACAAGAGGATCACTGTAAGTCCAAGCTGCATAGTGAGACCCTGTACCAAATATATTTTTTAAAAAACGTGGAATGGCCATACAATGGAATACTACCCAGTTAAGAAAAGGAATGAAACACTGCTATCAGATGGATGAGCCTTGCCAACACCAAGCTCCATGGAAGAAACTTGAGACAAAAGGCAAATATTCCGTCCCATTCCTATGAAAAGTCCACAGTACATGAATCTATAGGGACACACACGCAGCAAGTGAGTGGCTGCCAGAAAAGGAGAAAGGAGAGCATCTGCAGATGGGGACTCCTCTGGGGGAGAGAAGGTGTTCTGCAAGCCGACAGAGGCGTCAGCCACTCCACATCATTAATGTACTCCATGCCAACAAAGAGCACACTTCCACGAGATTCATTTTATGTTGTCATTTTTACCTCAATTGAAAATATATTAAAAACACTAATAATTCAGTGTCAGGTCCCATCAAAGAAAGCTCTTTGGGAATTGCTTTTGAAGTATGACTGAAGCACCAGCAGAGCATTTTTAAAAAGAATGAAAGAATTTGTCTTCTCTGATTTTGCTAACATTGGAAGCACGTGAGCTCACGCAGTTTGCAAGGGCTCTGGCCCTCCAGAGGCAGTGTGCAGAGCGTGGGCTGTGCTTCAGTTGCAGAGTGCCTGCCTAGCATGTGCAAGCTCTGCTTCCATCACCAGGACAGATGGCAGACAGGAGACGAGGATAAAGTAAGTGTGAGGATGTATGTAAAGTCCCCCGGGCACGGCTCTAGTCTTACGCAGGCCACGGACACATTGCTTCTACAGTCTCATGGCACTGGCACAGCATACAAAATGACCACACAATCTCAACACCACAAAGTCTCCAAACACCGTGTTTACCTGTATCTATCCCAGACCTGTGGGTTCTTCAGTGGGAGCAGCCTATATTAAGCTTGAGTCCCTGGAACTCAGTCCAAGAACACAATGGATGCGGAAAGCTTGTTTTCTAATGCAAACATGGCCAACCCTGGGCTTCTTCCACCACTGTACTCACCAGCCAGCAGATAGATCTGTGCCTACCACCTGGTCTGGGAAGGCTTGAAGTAGGCTGGATACCTCCCTCTGTGGCCCACAAAATGCAGGTCTGACCAAGCCACCTACAGCCTCTGAGCCTTAGCCTTATCAATTGTAAGACAGGATTAAAGTCTACTCCACAGGCTTGTGTTTATTCAGAGACTTATTTCCTGCTGATGGAAAGATGTCAAGAAAATAGATCATTCAAGAAAGGTCAGTTCCCCACCCTCTGACATCATAATTTTATTTTAGAAAATTAGGGTGCTGCTACCAGAAAGACATGCCCCCCATCTGCCTTCTCCCGCACTTACCTTCATGCCAAAGGTAAATATGGTAATGACGATTTTGAAGATCAGGGCCAGAGCCAGCTGCCACATGGCTGTGTAAACTCCAACCCCAGCTGGCCGGTCTGGAATGTCATCCACAGGCCGGGTCATATTGGGGTCGTTGATGTAGTCACAGAGCTGGGAAGACTCAAGGGCCCCACAGTCATTGAACAGCTCCGAAATGAGTTCGCTGGTGCTCTGGCGTGTGTAGGGGTTGGGATAGGCGATAATGGCGGTGATGGCTGTCACCACAATGACCTCCAGCACCGGGTACTTCCCCAGCCTGGTGGTTTTGCGCCTCCTGCACCAGGCGATGTTGCATCGAGTGAAGAGGGTTCCCCACAAACCCCCAAAGACTCCAAGCAGGATGAAGGGGAACAGTTCAGCCATGTACCAGGGCGTATGATATTCCACATAAAAGAGAACCAGGCGGCTATTCCCAAAGGGATTGATGGATCGTAGTGTGAAGGCTGCCACCAGAGCTGCAAAAAATGACCTCCACAAGGTCTTCAAGGGAAAGTAGTAACTGACCTGGGGCAAAGAAGTAGAAAATCAGAGGCTGGCCAGACAACCAGCAGCCCCAAGCCTTCCCATCTTGGGTCCAGTTACCTGTGGTACTTGGCACAAAGAACAAAGGCTAAGACCAATGGTGAATCACACTCCACCTAGTTTTAATTGTGTCCAAAATGCACCAAAAAAAGATATTTAAAGGAATCTAACTACGCTAAAAAGTCCATGGATTCTAATGAAGGTGGGTATGTGCTACACTTTTAAGACCAATAAAAGGCTGGAGTATAACTCAGTGGTAGAGCGTGTGTTTAACATATTCAAGGCCCTGGGTTCCAGCCCCACCATCCCAAAAAAAGAGAGGGAAAGAGAAAGAGAAAGTTAAATAAGATATGCATTTATAATACCACTCATGGCACAAGGGTCCTAAAAGCAAATAAACTCTGATTCTACAGAAAACAGAGGGTTGGGGAGATGGCTCAGTAGAATAAGCACTTGTCTGGCAAGTGCAAGGGCCTGAGTTCAATCCCCGGTTCTGAAAAAAAAAAAAAAAGAAAGAAAGAAAAGAGAAAAAAAAGAAGAAAGAAAAGAAAAGAGAATGAATCAAGGGCGGAAAGCCCTGGCCCACAAGTCAGTTCTGGCCCAGGGAATATACTATTTGTACAGCATATTGTTTAAGGATGATTTTTGCATTTTTCAATGGTTGGAAAAGAAACAACTTGTGACATGAACTATTATTCAGAAAAGAATAATTTTCATTACATGTGAGAATTATCTAAAATCCAAATTTTGGTGTCTGTAAGGAAAGTCTGCAGGACACACAGCACTGCCCACTCATGGATACATCCTCTGGCTGCTTTGCTGTTAACAACAGCAGAGTCTGTTGGCTACAACAGAAACTGCGTGACCCATAAAGTCCTTTTCAGAAAACACAGGCTGACCTCTGGGATGTTCCATTCTGCTTCCAAAGCCAGGGCAGAACCTACATTGGTTATGAGCAAGAGAGAATACTATAAATCTTCCCACAAAATTATACTGGCAACTTTTAAAATAGTATTTGAAAATAAATTTAACAGTGGAAATTGTAGATCCTTAACTAACTACAGAAACCCTTTTCAATTCTTCTATGAATCTAATCTTCAGAGGATAGGAAATAAAGGCTCACCCAGTGGGCCTACCCACCCTCCACACATGCCTTGCTGCCCCTACTCACCTCCTCCAGACTGAACAGCACACCCCCAATGGGAGCACCGAATGCCACAGAGACACCAGCAGCAGCTGCAGCTGAAAGGACCTACAAGGCAAAGAGTCTTAAGTAAGCTCCTGGGCCTTTCCTGAAGGCCAAGCCCTGCAGGAGACAGAAGCAAGGCTCCAAGAAGCCTCCTCTGCAGGTAGAAGCTCAGTCAGCTCACCTCACGCCTCTTGCCCTCATTTTTGCTATACTTGGAAAAAAGGCTGCTGAAGAAGTTGCCACAGCAACAAGCCACATGCACCAGAGGCCCTTCTTTCCCAAGGCTCAGGCCAGAGGACACTACTAGCACCAGGGTGACTGTCTTGATTAGCAGGGTCCACTTTCCCAAGTAGCCCCTGATGATAAAGCCGCTCAAAATGGTCTTTATCTGAAAGAGAATGGAGAGTGAGGGAATGAATTGCTTTAATCCGTGCTTACAAAGAGCTGTGCCTCTGAGCTAGAGCCACTAACTCCCAAGGAGACTATTTTAGTTTTTGACTTATCTCTAATTTTATAATATATCAACACATACATTTCGAGACTGCAGCTGATGCCTGAAAACTCAGTACTAAGCCCAATCTATATTTTCTTTTTTCCTATGCACACATACCTATGATAAAATTTAATTTATAAAGTAGGCACAGTAAGAAGACAACATTAGCTAATAAAAAGTAGAACAATGATAACAATTGGCACACATTTTCTGTTCATATCTTCCATGCATGAATGTAATGCTTTTTCCATTGCAACTAGACAACTGTCACACATTGTAGGAATAACAACTGCAGTCTGAGGTGGGGCAGCCAAGCAAACAAAGAAGGCTTTTTTCCTTTCTCACAATTTAACACAAAGAAGATGCATTCTTACTGTAGATCTTAGAAACCTCAGCACACAGTTTTTCCCCATAAATTACACAGAGATTACAGGCATGTGCCACCAGGCCTGGTCTCAGTGGCAGGCCCAGCACACCTAAGGGTGGGATCAAGGCAGCATGTAGTGCCAGAGATCGAACCCCAGTCCCTGTGCTTGCCTAAGCAGGCACTTGGGCCCCTGAGCTATCCTCATGGCCCCCATCACTACTCTTACACTTTGGAATTTGTGACTGAAGAAAACAAGCATGGCTTGAAGACAGGCAGTGCAGTACTGTGACATCCACCTGATAAGCAAGAGCGCCATTGAGTGGTAAGCGAGAGGGTAGCATATACTTGGTGGATATGCTAGGTAAAGGGGCAATTCACGTCCCATGCAAAACAGGACAGGATGACAAGAGATTTGATCACACCACGCAGGACAGAGCAATTTTTACTGTTCAAATCTTTCCTACCTTTTTAAAAAATTTTACTATTCTTAAAACCAGGTCAGAAAATAAAGATATTCATAATTGTAGTAAAACACCTTTAGGGAATGTAAAATTGCTTGAAATAATGAAGATTCCTCTTCCATTAACTCCTATCCTCTTGAACTGGGAAGGCTTTGCAGGCAGAACTGTCTTGCTCCATTTTTAAACTTGCTTCATTTTGTAAGTGCCAAGTAATGACTTTCTTCCTACAGCTGCAATTGAGTCTTTGATTAGTGCGTTTAGAACGGAACTGGCTATTAATCTCAGTGAGTAACTCTGTGTATTGAAGTCCACTATTGTAAATAGAAGCATGACCAATGGTAAACAACTTCACTACCACCAGCCTCTCCCCAAAGCGCATAAAATGGAGTGAATGTTTACTGCTGAGCCAGCTCTTTACAAGCTCCTAATCATACATTAATTAGATACTGAGCCAGACAATGAAATTCATCAATTTGTTTTCCCATTGTGTAATACATAATAGGACAAGCTCTCTTTTATCATTGTCATTTACATAACTTCGAAGTGCCTCCTTTGGAGCCCTACTCTGCCAAGTAAGCAACTTTTCAAATAGCTGTTAGGTCCTTCTAAACCTTAGTCCTCATCAGAATCACCAGGTGAATTGGAAAGACTTAAAGGAAAACTGCCTCTCCACACACAGCTGTGACGTAATTGGACCAAAGGGCATCTCAGGTACAGAGTTTTACAGCATCCCCAGGTGATTTTAAAGTGCTCCACTCCAGAAAAGACCAGTACAGACACTCCCTAATTTCTCCATATTTAAGGGACAGCCCTAAAGCAAACTAATCCTGAAATTCTAAAAGGCTGTGGACAGGACCATTTTCAACTTAGGAATTACTAACAGAGATAGTATGTTTCTTAATTCAAAGAGAAATGCTGGGTGATGAGGTAAAAGGAGAGGGAGAAAGAGCACTGGCAAGTTTGTGTGTTCCCCAACAAATTGCTTGAGTTCCTTCCTCTAGAATATACATGAGGTCCCCTAACTATAGGCAAATAGGATTTCTGCAGCTAGACTTGACCTCACAGCAGACAAACTAGCAGTGGTTAAACCAGCCTTTAACTAGTGGTAGTTGGCTTAATTGAGTTCGTGCTCTGGGGATTTCAGATCCTTTTATTTAAAGGATGTTTTATTATGCTTGCCACAATCCTGCCCTTTTGTGTTGCCTTGAATAAAATTATCTATAATTTTTTGTCAGTTAGTTAATATGGATTTGGACCCCAGGGTACAATTGAAAAGTGTAATACTATTTAGCAAATTGCAAGCATCTAAATTACCTGAGCCTTTGCGAGCCACGACATGCAGTGAACTGAACAATGTAATAGGTATTTTGTAATTCTCTAAAATGATTTTATAAAATTGTCATGATAAAATTAGGAACAAAAGAAGGCAAAATCATTCCCAGTAGATGCCACAATCCAATCACTTGCTCTCATTTGAATTCAGAGTTTGAAGCAAGCAGAGCTTTAACAAGACATATTGCAGCGAATCTGTGGCTCAGTGGTGTTACCCTTAAAACCAGAACTTCTTTTGTTTGATAAATATTTGTCTAAGCATTCATGTTTTATAAGGAACAGAAACAACACCTGAGGCACCATGATTTCTTATATAACTGATAATACTTTCTACTGATGAAGCTACAGAAATAAAAGAGGAACATCCTTACCGAGTTCTCTCTAAATTCCAAAGCCAAAGGAACCAAGACTTTATAGAAATTACATGGCCATTTCTTACACATAAAAACATTATACAAATTTACATTTTTTACTGCTTGTTATATTTATTTTGAAGAGTAAAAACAAAAGAAAAACAAAAACAAAGACGGAATCAGGGTAACATACAATAATATATGTTACAGATTTTCAAAACTAGAATAGCTGATTAATAATGATTGATATATTATCTATTTTTATCGTCCAATCTCTTGCTCAGATTAACAGATATAGACCTGGGTCTATCACCATGTACTAAAATAAAGTCAAAATGGACTAAAGATCTAAACATTAAAACAGAAACACTAAATCTCCTGGAAGAGAAAGCAGGTGGAAATCTTGAAGATATAGGGGTAGGCAAACATTTCATGAAAAAAAAAATCAAACTGCAGGGAAAATAGTTCAAAGAATCAACAACTGGTACCTCCTCTTATTAAGAAGTTTCTGCACATCAAAAGAAATTACCAACAGAGTGAAAAGACAACCCACAAATTTGGAAAAAAAATCTTAACCAATAATCACTCAGACAAAGGTATTCTATCTAGAATATATAAAGAATTAAAAAATATTAGGATCCCAAAATTTAAAGACCAATCCAAAAATGGGCATCTGAGATGAGTATACACTTCTCAGAGGAAGAAATACAAGAGGCAAATAAGTACCTGAAAAAATGCTCCACATCACTGGCCATTCGAGAAATGGAAATTAAAACAACACTGATACCATCTCATCCCAGAAAGAATGGGTATCATAAAGAAATCAACTAACAACAAATGCTGGAGGGGCTGCGGGGGAAGAAGGAACCTTTCTCCACTGCTGGTGGGAATGCAGACTGGTACAACCATTATGGAAATCAGTGTGGAGACTCCTCAAAAAACTAAGACTGGAAATCCCACTCAAACCAGCTATTCCCCTTCTGGGAATTTTCCCAAAAGAACTGAAAACATCATATCTAGTGATATATGTGTACCTATGTTTATAGCAGCACAATTTGTCATAGCCAAATCCTGGAAACAACCAAGATGCTGGTCACCTGAGAAATGGATGAAAAAGATGTGGTATTTTTATACAATAGAGTATTACTCAGCTATAAAGAAAGACAAACTCAAAGCCTTCATTGGTAAGTGGATGAAACTTGAGGCTATACTCGTAAGGGAAATAAACCAGACCCATATGTGCAAATATCATATTGTCTCCCTAGTGTCAGAATCCAAAAGATAATATAAATTTACATTTTAAAAATGGTTCCAAAGGAACTTTTATTCTATGTAATCAAAATGTTTTGGAAGGAAATGCCTGGGAGGATGAAGAACTTTAAAACTGTACCTGGGGCTAGTGGTGTAACTCAGAGGTAGAGGGCTTGGTGGTTGAGAACGGCAGCCTTAGTTAAGGATTTCTCATTCTGCTTTAATATTGGGGAAACATGGCTGTAATAAGCAAGTTCAATTATAAAACCTCCACTGGTTCCTAATCTTTAAAAGACTGTAGTAAATACTTTTATAGAGAAAAGAATCTATTATGCATTTATATAGTCAAAAGGATGTTGACAAACAGAGGCACCCATGAACTCACTATCAAGTTCAAGAAACAGAAGAGCACATACCTCTGAAAACCCTCCTCACCTCCCCACTGGAACCTTCCCCTTCCCTTTATCTCTTTCAATCATTTATTTACCTTTCTTGACCATTTTAGCAAAAGATGCTGTGAGTTTGATTCCACATACATAATCATACTTTACCTGCTCTTTTGAAGCCTACTTTCTCCATGGGACATCATTTTTTAAATTTTCATCTGTATCAGTGTGTTCCTTATGCTTCTGTCACATAATGAACTTAAATGCTCAACTCAGTATTTTATTTCCTTTGAGTTCACCTGTCACCAATAGCAATGCCTACTTAGGAGAAGAAACATCCAAGCAGTCCCTCAAAGAGAACTCCTCTTTAAGCTCTCTGTGTGTCAGTAAGATCACCAGCCAAGCCACACATCTCTGTTTCTCAGAAGGGGGAGGGAGGATCGCTCATCATCCCTTTGGTTGCTGCTTCAGGTTTTCCACCAGTTTGCTACTGCTCATCTGCTTATTGTGCAAAGGCTTGACTCCAAAACACATACTGATGGTCAAGGGAGTTGTACATGTGGTACCAACAATGAGCTACCTTTTTGTATCATCCAGAGTGCGTTGGGCTTTGGTAGCAAGTGAAATAGCTCTGCTGTAACACTTGCATTGAAAATGCAAATTGGCCCCAATACTATTCACACATTAGGGGGGAATTTGAGGGTAATGCAAATTTTATATCTGTTTATACACAGTTTCCTATAGA